GGCAATGCCCATGAGGAGAAGCAACAACCCGGCTTTGTGAGGCAACCACATAACAAGACTTGGAATGACTTCAGCAAGATGAGTGAAGCCCATCAAGGAAAGGCCACAGGTGGCTAGTACAAGGATCAAGAGGCACCTATCTACAAAAGACTATAGTTAGGATCCTTGGGCGATAGGACTTCGCCCAGCCTAGAGCAACGGTCAAAGAAGAAGAACGAGGAGACTTGGACAGAACAGGAGAAGCCGCCAAGTTCTCCAACGTCGACAAGAGTGTCGATGGATTCATTGGGGGAGAGTGTAACGGGCCACCACAACAGCCTGTCCACACAAGCACATCACAACGTGATGTGACAACATGTAAAGGCTTACCATAATGATGATCAGGACCCAATCATGTGAGAGTCAAACGAGGTACCTGCCAAGATCAAGGTGGCCTATGAGAGAGAGGTAGACGAAATCCTTATGAGCTGGCTATTGAGGACAAAGAACTGCATGCCAACAGTAGAGTTCCTGGTCAAGTGAGAGGGCTTGCTAGACCATGAGTCAAGTTGAGAGCTCGAAAAGGAGCTGTGGCAACACTGCAAGGCAATTAAGGTATATAAGGGACGTACCAAGAATGGAACTCAGAGCAATGGGAGAGAATATGTCCAAGGTGAATTGAGTATTGATTGAACACCACCCATCGACTAGCATGGGCAACTGGACCAAGGCCTGCCCCCAAGGACCACCCAAGATGTGTCTCAACAAAACTGAGGCACATCCCAAGGCGCACCACACCTAGGACCCTGACAATATACTGTATAGACTAACAATATATGCGCCACGCCCCAACGACTTGTACAAATTTTTAATTACAGAAATGCCCTTCCCCAAACACTATAAATAGGGGTCCTCCCCTCCCATTATAACCCATCCAAGGCTTCAAGCAATACAAACTCTCTCGTTGTTTCTTTCTCTAAATTGTCTTTCTCTCTCTTGGTCTCCTTGTATTTGAGTTGTGAGCTTAAGAGTATAGTAAGAATGGGTTGTCTTAGGCAGGGCAATCAAAGGGATCTTGGGTGAGAGTAAGCTTGGAGAGTGGGATATAAGACTAGACTAAAAGTCTTAGACTTCCTACTGTTCAAAGACTTGCTGGGGTGCCATGTGTGAGTTTGGTTGGTTTTGACACTTAAGTGGCTTAAGACCCTCCGACCAACATGACACACACACCTTGGCAAACGTGCCCACTCTGTCCATCAACTACAAAAAGAACCATAATAATATATAAGGGGGATAGAGAGAGATCAAAATTGAGATTGGAAAAAACAAATTAAGGGTGTTTGATACAAGATTATTTAAAAATTGTTTGTTGTTTGTCAGTTAGCTGATTTAAATGTCTATTTCATGATATATTACAGTCCAAAAATTAGACTTATGTGATTTAACATCAAAACCATTTTTAAATTAGAAGGAAGCTACATTGTGCTCCAAAAATTGTTTGTTGTCTATGATTTGGTAATGGAAATGTTTATTTTATGATATACTGTAGTCTAAAAAATTAGGATATGTAATTTAACAACAAAAGACCTAATATTTAGGTTAATAAAATCCTACATTGTACCCTAATGTTTATACCTTGTCTACTAACTGCGCTTGTTCCTAGGACTTCTACGTGGAGGCATTGCTTTCCTTCTATGGGGTTTAATCTAAGCACCCAATCCTTGTGGATAGTAATAACTCAATCAATCAAGCATAAAAGCCCTTTAATCTCAATGAGTGATGTCTTAGGGTTAATGACTTTTTGAAAGGGAGTTGTAGAAATGAGGCCAAGTTAAAAGCATCATGCAACTAAGGGTTGTCACATATGTTGGGTAAAGATGGAACAATTGGAATCAGCCTTGAACAAGAGTTTCTTGAGTGATTCCAAGAGTAAGCCAAATAGGTTCCGGTTCTAAAAAGTTAGAACCAGCTTTTCTCAGTAGGTCTCTAGTTTTACACCTTTACACACCCTGCCAATGGATGAGTCTTGAAAGGACCAAATTGGAACCAACCTTGATATGATTGGTTTGGAACCGGTATTCCTTTTTTTTTTTTTTAACTGTTTAACAAGTTGTACAGACAAAAAAGCAGATTTTAATTTATAGCTTTGTGTTGAAATGAAAACTAAACATAATTCCCCATAGAAACAATTTATCCTGCACAATTTAAACTTTTGGTAATTCTTGGGTTAATATTTGTTATTTTCATTAATAAAACGATTGCAAGTTCCAAGGTTGTTATAAGACCCCACAGGTAAGGTCTAGTTCCAAAAATCTATGAGTTGTATGGATAAATAAGCAGATTTTACTTTATAACTTCATGTTGAAATGAAAACTAATTATAATTTACTAAAAAAACTAAGCATAATTTAAACCTTTCAGATATTTTGGTTAGTATTTGTTGTTTTCATTAATAAGAAGATTATAAGTTCAAGGATTGTTTTAAAACCCCACAGGTAAGGTCTAGTTACAAAAATCAATGAATTGGTTTCAGCTTCTGGTTCCGTCCTAGGAACCTATCCATCCTACTCATAGTTACCTGGATCACGGTATAGTATGGCATACAGGACAAGGACAGGGACAGGTATGTGGGGTTAGCTTATTCGGAACATTGTTTCAGGACATGATATAACTATGGACGTTATAGTATGAGTCGTTCTATGTATATATCACTATGGACATGTTTCTACTTTCTAATTATCAAAGAATAAGATATGATTAATCAAAAAAATAATTCTCATAAAACCATAAATAAAAACATAAAGATTAAATTTTAGTCTTTGTTTTGGAAAAAGAATTCTTACTAAATGTATTATATTCTCTAAAAACAACCGTTGGAATGTATAATTTTCAGCATTTGTTTTCAAAAAGAAATTCTTAATAAATGCATTATATTCCCCTTAAAAAAATGTTGGAATTGGAAGGTTTAATTTCAGCCTTTGTTTTGGAAAATGAATTTTTAATAAATGCATTATATTCCTTGAAAAAAACTGTTGGAAGGTTTAATTTTCAGCCTCTATTTTGGAAAAGAAATTATTCATAAATGCACTCTTTGATAAGCCCTATTTACCCCCACAAAAAAAAAAAAAAATAAAAAAAAAAAAATCTGCTAATTGCAAGAAGGAAGGCCTAATTAATGCTAGAAATCACACATTAATGATGTTTGCTGATTTACACTAACAAATTGAGTCAAATAATTCAAAAATCAACAAAGTGAATTTGGGACACTGCAAATAATGAGCTGGGTTGAGAACGCACCACAAATTGGGTTGCTCAACCCAAATCGAAATTCCAAAGGGGATGGGGTGAACTAGGTAAGTATGATCCTATCCAAGCTCACCCCCATGACTAGTCCAATAATTTTTGTAGTTCCAAACATGTAGGTGGTGTAGTTGATCGCAGAAGTTAAACATTTAGAAGGCATGTATGCAACTAAGCTATAGTTTAAGGGGCTGTTTTTGCCTTTTTCCCCTAATGAACAACAGAGGTGTTCATCAAACCAAATCAAACCAAACCGATTAAACCAAATAAATTGAACCAAATCGTGATTTGGTTCGGTTTCGTATAGGTCATGAATATGTTGGTTTCAGTTCACAGCAATTTTTTTCCCTCACAACCACCAAACCGAACCGCATAAACTGAACTAAACTGTAAAATATGTTTGGGTTTGCAGTTTAATCATTCAACTTTCTTCTCTTTTTGTTCTGGCTCCTCTACTTTCTTTTTTCTGTAGTTTCATTCCCCAATCTCCTTTCCTTTTCTTTTTTATTTTTCTTTTTTTCTTTAATGGTCTCCTAAGCTTCCGATTCTTTCAAATAGCCCTTCAATTTGGGTTATTACATATCATGTCAATATTTAATTTATTAAATTTATTGAATTTTCTTGGTAGCCATGTTTTTCAATTATCAAATTTAATTGATCCTACTACAAGTCTAAAATTATGTAGGGGTGGAGAGTTTGGTAAGAAGTTTGATGGATTTAATTTACAAATCGTGGTTTTCAAACCGAACCAAACCGTGAATCGTGATTTGGTTTAGTTCTTGAGAGTTCATGGTTTTGTTTGGTTTAGTTTCTAAAAATTACGAAGAGTTATGGTTTGGTTCGCATTGAGCCTCAAACCGAACCACAAACACCCCTAATCAACACACTACAAACACATCTTTTAATCAGTGTTACAAATCAAATATTAATAATTTGTTAGATCCAACATTGCTATAGCACTAGACATCCATAAGCACAAAAATCCTTTTATTGCCTAAGGTACTAAATACCATGCTAGGTGTTCCCTTGAATAAAGTGAGGCACCACTTAGAAAATTAACTAAAACCAAAAGACCCAAAAAAGGGCTTATAGCAATTACCTTCAAATCAATCCTTTTCTCTACAGGGTTCCTTAAGAAGTTATACCATGTCTTTTCTTCAAATGGGGAAAAAAGAGGCAAATCAAAATCAATGGATCAACCAAGCCTTATCCCAACTACATGTTGTCGTCTACTTAAATCCTTGTCTTAAATATGCTTTGTCATAGACTAGATTTTCAGTTAAGCCATAACAATTTCAATATTTCTTCATTAGTTTAACCAGAGTTAGTTTTGGCCTACCACTACCTCTATTATTAACCTTAATAGAAAAGTGTCATTTTTCCTAATTGGAGATCTACATTGAACATGACAGAACCATCTAATCCTATTTTTCTCTTATTTTAAACAACGGAACAAATATAAGGATACGGTGTTTTCTTATTTACTTTAAAAAAAAAAAAAAAGCTTCCAATAGATATTCAATGAGAGGTTTTTACCCCTCTTTTCCTCGATTACTAAATGGGAACTTGGAACTTTCTAATTTCCTTCAACGATAAACTCTGATTATTTTACAAAGTGGCCTCTCAAAATTTGATCTTTAACTAGAATTGAATTCAATAAGACTTGGAAGGGATTTTAGCTAGATGGCACCTTAATGCCTAGGCTTGAGCCTAGGTGCTCACCTAGGCGACACCTAGATGATGTTGCTTTGCTGGGGTTGAGGCAAGCCCTAAGGCTGCACCTTCTCTCCCATACAAGCCTTGAAAGTTTTAACAAACAATTGCATCACAATAAGATATGTACAGAGGCCCTAGCTTCTATACTTTTAGCCATAACTGTAAGTTGCATTAGTGAAGACCCAACCAATTCAAAGCAATTTGCATGTGCATGTTTCACTATGCTACATGGCGAGTCAGATGTTAAACTATATCCAGTTGCTTGTATAGCAAAACATTAAACCATCTCAGCAAACGTATTTAGACAGCAAGAAGATACTGTAAAGAGGCCAAGATAGAGAATTATGTGAAGCTTAGTAGTGGAGGAAAAAGCCAGCAAGCAACTTCACATATAAAATTATCAAAGTTAATATGTAATACCTGTGCAAGTATGTTATGATGTGGATCATGGTGCAATGGAGTTACCGTCCCAGCAGGTCCAAACCAAGCATTAATTGATCTGAGCTCCCCACCACCAGCAAAACAGTAATCAGGTATCAGAATGTCTTTTCTTAACTCATGTATCTGTCATTTAAATGTTAAGTGAGAGAAGTGAACACTGTAATGCATGGACATGAAGTTATACAACATGCTTCCATCATATAGTGTCCTCACAAGTGATGCATGCCTGATCAAACAATGGATGCTGAGCCAAATATGTTGGACCAGAACTAGTGTCACTTGACTGAATCCTTTCAAGAAACTGGGAAAATGTAATCAACTCTTGCTTCCACTCAGAGCACAAGTAGTTCTTTCCAACCTGCAATATGTTTTGAACTTTACAAACTTTAAGATTGAGAAATCATTCAATTGTATAGAATATTTTCAATCTAGATGAGTAAATGTTCAAGAGCTACTACTCAGCCACTCACATAGAAAATGTGATAACAATTCTTACATATTCACTAAGCTTCATGCTTCTGGAATTTAATCTAATGTCTAAACTATCATTCAGTTCAACAAAGTTATTAGCTCTAAGGCGTCACAACTCACAAACTCGTTCTAAAGTTGACTGATGGAGGCGTCAAGTTCATTGATCATTCCGACTTAAATTTATAATTCATCCTTTAAGAAATAAAGAATCCAACAGCTCTAAAGTACATTATTTTGAATAATTAGAAACATATTAAAGCAATTTGAGTTTTTTGTTAGATACATGCCCATGTAAGTTAACTAGGGCAACAGCAGATTAGTTAACTCTATTGAGCTAAATGGTGTGCCTCAAATCAAATCAGTTGAGGTGGATCAAAAGGCCAGCTATCAGCAATCAGTGCATTGTCTGGCAGAACACATTTCATCAGAGCTGAGGAGTGGCTCCTAGGATGGTGATTGCGTGATCAGTTGAGAGAATAAAGCTAGGGAAAATAGAGGGTCAAAATATAATTAGGACAACTTATAAGCTAGAAATGCTTGAGGGATAATTCCTGATAGATATTTTTTTTAAACTTTAGCAGCGGCGCCTCATGGCATTCTTAACATCTTGATATAGGCAAAGAGTGAATGCTATATCAAATGAAAACGTCCTTTTGAGTGTTCTTTCATATGGAAAAAATGTTAGCTATGAGGAAGTAACTGGAGTGAATCTCTTGGATGAATGATGCAGCCTTCCACATGCTGCAAATAAAAAACTTTTCCCCAAATTTGAGTAAAGGAACAAGTTGGATGGCACCTTCTGACATTGTCTTGGACTGGCCAGAATAACTCTCTAATGGCAATCAAGTCAGTTGGCTTGATTGACATTGCCATCTAGCTTTCAGAATCACTTGATTACAACAATCCTCTTGCCTCTTGGTTATTGGTTCATGGATTAGTAGCACTTATAACCTAGTCTTGAAGAGGTCTTGGTCCTGTAGTATAAAACAAGTCCTAGAAATTCATTGGAATGACCAAGACAAAGCCAAGTGTCAAGACAAATCAGCATGGATTGTTGAAGCCATCCAGTGAAGTAGTTGACAAGACTAGCATTCTAAACGGCCAAGACATTTGAAACTTTGCAACACATTTGACAACCTGCCAACCAATGCTTGACCAAGTGGCCAAATGACTATAATAATCATAGGTGCTTGGTGAGACATTGAGTGAGAAAAAGATTAGACATAGCAAATGCCATAGCTAGTAAATCAACTCCAAGACCACCCCATATATTTGGTTTTGCCCACCCCAGTAGGACATGCAAATAGACAAAGCAGTTGACACATGGTACCGACTAGCACAGTATGGTACAAACCAGATAACCTATAGATGGTTTATTTATTGTCAGTTTCATGTCCCAGAAGTTAGTGACAGCTTATTAGCAATTTGAATTGACATTCATTAGAAAATGGCACCTTTGTTCTGTAACTAGATAGTGTCAATCAACTCATAATTTGCAAAGACTGACTCGTCTAGTCAGCATAATATACTGTAAAACCAAAATTATGCTCAAAATGACACCCTTACTTTAGGGTTTAGCACTCTTTTGCACTGAATGTCATACAAAGAAACCAAGCATATAGGTGAAAGCCTAAAAGGTCAGCTCTTCATTTCCAAATGGAACAACAGTAATCCTTTCCGATTTGGAAAGTGTAACAGTCAATTTTCCTTAAATGAAAATACCAACTGCACATTAAGGTCATATTGGTTAAATATTAGTAAAAATCTCGAGTCTATGAAGTCAAAAATGCAAAAGAGTTCAGGCACATAGATAATCCCCAAAAAAATCCACAGAAGTTCCATAGATAACTCAATAGATAAGCCCAAGATTTCACTCATGATTTGAGCCCAAATTTTACCAGGCAAATTTACTGCTTATACATCATTTGGAAATTTGTTCCTTGATGATTTTTAGTTGCTATCTGACATCTTGAGTGATACTTGTACTGTCTAGATGAAATGCTTGGAGTGAAGCTGCTTGTGAAGAAAAGCTTCACAACCAGCTTCACAACCAAAACTTGCCTACATAATGGAAGAAACCCTAGTGAAAAGCTGTATCGACTCAATGCAAACAAAATTACTGCTGAACATACTCATAGAGTCTGCACTCAATCCACATTATTGCTGAACCTTTATAAATATAAAGTTTAAAATCCATCTTCTATGACCTTTTATTTTAATTTCAATTTTAGCATTGTGATTTTTTTTCATTGATTATCATTATTTCATTATTGTTATTTCAGCAAAAAAAGTAATTCTAATCAGTCCAAGCCACCTCTACTTGGCTTCCCATAGCTAGGACACCAGAGGAGAATTACACACCTACAGCTTACTGAATTAGGAAGCAGTTATAGAAAAGAAACCTAGATATGCGTGCACACCATGATCTATTTTATGAAGAAACATTCAAATATAGGTATCCAAAAATTTTTACCGTCACTAAAGTTTCAAATAATCTTTCACTAAAGTATAAAATAAACTTACATATATCAGCAGGAATAACAAGGAATAGGCAAATGCATAAATGACATGGTTTCACTATGCCAGTGCTAGGAAGGTAAGCCTTAGTGCACTGGAATAGTTGCTTTATTGTCACCTATGAATCAAAATCCAAATCTCAGACAACCTCTTTATATGTAAGGGTAAGGACACATATACATCCTAACTGTGCAGCACTGGGAGGTTTGTGCACTAAGTTGCCCTATAATGTGCTTTTTCATTTAGTTCTATAAGTTCAGTTAATAACTTCAAAAATATGCATCAAAAAGGAAACCCATCCAGTGACCAGCCAAACTCCACATGAAGAACTGGTGCCATAAGGATATTCAAAAACATCCCCAGAAGTTCAGAAGCTTAACTGAAAGTTTTCATTTTAAGAATCATTATTCAAAAGTTTATCAACCCTGAAAAAATTCTTTTTTTCTCATCATAACTAAAGGCGATTCAATTAAAATGACAGTGGATGATATTGAAGAACAAAAACTTTTTTAACAAGCTGTTAAATCACCTTTAGATGATCAATCAGGTGGCTCACCCTCATGATGGCTTGTGTTGATACAAATTTTGTGAAGTGAGCTCAGCTAGACGTGCATTCTTTTCCCCTAAAAGTATTATAGTTGGTCTCTAAAACTTTTAGATCATAATATTAACATTTCTAGGTCTAGGACACAAAGCTGAGAAAAGGATGACAATAACCTTGCTAGCAACCAACTCCACCAGAGAAAATTTGACACTGTCCTTTCTAACAAGTACTTTCCTTGATAATAGTAACATCTCTTTATATTGATATCTTTGCTGATGACTTTCAGAATCGCAACAAATGTGAAATGTCTTCATTTGTTTAGATGTTCTTATAGAGTAAAACAGAGAAAATAATTCTTGAAAAAGAGAGATAAAAAATAACCAAATGCTACAACCTAATGCATGGAAAAAAAATTATAATCCAGAAATATACCCTTAAAGAAAAACAGTCATAAAAATAGAATAATCATCACCTCAACAGGAACTGTGCGAAAGCCAGCTACCCTTTTCAAGTAATCTATATCATTCCATCGTGTCATAGCTGGCCAATGAGCCATACAATCACTGATGATAACTGGAGAACCTGACAAAAAATAGTCATGCAAGAATCCCTCCAATGATAGAGCTGACTGTTTTCCAACAGTTTTACAAGATAGTGACCTCATTGGTAAAGCCTGAAACACCTACAAGGTGAAATGCAATATAGGATAATACAACATTACTATCTTTATCTCCCCAGTGCACATCACTCAAAAGATTATTCTGTAAATCCTTGTCAACTCTAGTTAGCAGATATTTAATTACTATGATTATCAAATCACTGCAAAGTAAATCTCAGTAAGCATAGCTAACCACAAACTAATTTTATTAGGCATCAAAATAATCTGAGTGATAAAATTATTGACAGACTCCAATCAAGGAAAACCTAGGTTACACTCTTATATATGATATGGAAGCAAGTATGAGCAATGATCATTAATGCACTGTTAAAATACTTCTTTTTATTTGAAAATACCACCAGACTATTTTTGGCATAATTGAATCTGGATGTCACATTTTCTGCAAAATATACATCCAACTCACTCATTCTAGCGTGTAGAAACCCTGACAACCTATAAAAGTAAGATCAAATTTGGAACAGAAAATCAAAGATTTGTCAACACTTTATTCAACCTCTCAAATAATTACATAATACACTTCATGCTTAATCAACTTTTACTACGGTAACAATATACTGGGCAATGGAAGAAGAGAAAGTATGTTGAATTATCATTGAGAAGTAAAGAATACAATAAAAAGGATACAAAGAAACGAAAAACAACCATTTAGTCCATGAAAGGAATAAACACTTCTAAAAAACCTTAAATGTGAAAGAATAGATTTGAAACAGTTGCTATATAATCATTGTAGTTAAAATATCAAACTTCTGTAATTAACTGCCGACCCCTGAATCCATCTAACATCTGTCCTCAGCTCTCCAGCTAAATCTAGCAGGCAACCCAGAAAAAATAAATAAATAACGTAAAATATAAATGTATATTTTTAATCTGTTTGACAAAGATTTTAAACCACTACCTCAATGCATTAATAGGAATTTTAAATTTTACTGCACAGTTTCACCAGTTTAGTTCTCAAAATAAGTGAGAGGAAAGTACCCCACAAACATAATTTTCAAAAGGAATGGTAGATACTAGATACTGCAAACCTCATTAAGAGAAAATCAAACATACATCAAGAAGAAGGGTAGGAATTTCCTAGTTGGTAATTGACAATATTCCGATAAAGAGAGCTAAGAGTCTGTGATCCATCTACAATTTTTTTCTTTTTCTTTTTTAATTTTTTCCTGGGGACAATTCTGATGAATACAATTATTTCCCTGGATTTTAGTAAAGGCAGTTTTCAACCCAAAGAGGTATCATATCTCAATAAACCTTCTGATGTTCTAAGAGAAAATCTTTTAGATATTTTTGTATAAAAGCAAAGTTAGAATTGCTGAAGCGACTAAAACTAGACTTCTGCACAAAAGCAATCCGCGCAATCCGCAGGAAGGGCAATGAAAAGCAATAAAGACTGAATTCCACCATGAAATCGCAGTAAATATTTACTACCACGCCTTTTTGAATCACGAGCAAATCACGCATAGCCATATTAAACAACATTATATAGGCGAAAGAGAAACAAGGGGAACCACACCTTACCTCCGCTTCATTAAATTTTTCAGGAACAACATGGTTTTGGGCCTTGGCTACCCCTTCAGTCCCGTCCTCAGAAACCTTAAGAGCAGTCGCCTTCGCGGATACCTTCTCCACGGCAGCATCCAAGTCCTTACGCAGAGTCATTCCTCCCATGATCAAGCCCATGTCGAGAACCCTAAGTGCCTCCTTGAAGTCGCCATTGGCGTAATGGAGTTTGGCCACATTCAGGCACGCCATAGAGTACGCGTCCCTCCAAATCGGCAGCACAGAGTGCCACGGGCCAGAATGAAGCTGCTCCCAAGCCATCTCACGCGCCGCCTCCGACGCCCGGAGGTCGCCGGAGGCGGCGAGCGAGGACATTCCAACGTAGGCGTAGCCGCCCTGCTCGGAGATTTTCTGGAGGATGTTCCTCCCCTCCGCGTCAAGAAGCGGGTTTCTAGGAAGTCGGCGGCAGCCATTGCGGTTGTTGCGGAGAAGATTTCGGTTGGCAACAGCTTAACGTCGCCGCGCCGTGACGGGGATAAATAGAGAGAGATATTTTTGCTGAAGGATGTGGAAAGATCGAAGGAACAATAATATCTATCCATCTCTTCTGCTCTTCATCATAATCATGCGGGAAAAGGGTCCCAGCGAAAGTGCAAGGGCGATGAAGATATTTTCCGCTTTTCGCTCGGGTCACTTGCTCGACTTGTTCCACATTTTTAATGTTTTTAAAATAAAAAATTTACTTTAAGCTTTTCCTGTTGGAATTTGCCCAAAACTTCTTTAACTAACTCTTGAATTCAATAAGAACATTTTTGATAAACGGAATAGAAATGAAAAAACAGACTAGGATAAAGACTTTCATGAATATATCTGCTACACATTATAAAATAGGACAGAAAATAAAAAATTATTTAAAAGTAAAAATATTCTCTATTAAAAAGTATTAAAAATCAAATAATTTTTAACTTGTAGTATATTAAAATTGTATTATAATATATTATATTGTGGAATACATTTAATGTCTTAATATTATATTACATAATTTTAACCCTAAATTAATTAAAAAACCTTAATTCTGAGACTTTCATGAAAGAAATCTTGATTTCTTTTAATAAAAAATAAACTCACTATCCAAACATTTAATTTTAGAAAAAAAATAGTTTTTTTTATTTTTTTGCTAAAATATTCCTTTTTAAATTCATATTTTATTAGAAATAAATGAATTTAAACTTTTTCAAAGGGTTGTCGTTTTTCTCAATCATCTGGGTTGGCATGATTTGTGTCTTCGTTATTTCTAAAACATTTCTAGTCAGCGCCAAGTGTGATTTTATGGAAGGTATTTGTGCTTGTCATTCTAGACACGCGGACAAAACTTAGCCCAATCAATTCTCTTTTCTACTTTTTTGTGCCCACTTAAAGGGATAACGTGCGCGAGGGTTGTTGAGGAAATTCACAAATGCATGAGCCGCCAATTTTCCTTTAATCTTTCAACAGTAGGCGTTGTTTGGTTGTAATGGAATAAATCGTTCAAATTATTACTATCTTTAGGTTTATGAATTACCCTTGTAATCAGGCCTTGTTTGGTTTACTTGTTTTTTTATTTTTATTTCTAGTAAAAACAGAAAATAAAGGTTCCAAATGTGTTTAGTTTGTATTTTTTTTTATTTTTATCAAAAATATTTTCTTAAACATGAGTTGCAATTTAAAACTTATTTAAAAAAAAAAAAAAAAAGAATTCCCAAGTGACACTTTACAAAATTTGGAAATAAAAAATATATATTGAAAATTTGAAACCATTCCCCGAAAACAGAAAACATTAAAACAAAATTAAGCACTTTTTTTAAAATTTTAATGTCAAAGAAATTAAAATAGTAAGGAGGTGATTGAAAGAATTAAGAAATGGGGGACTTTAATTGGAAAATTTAGGGTTAAACTGAATAAAATGATCTTTGAGTGACCAGATCACAAGAGAATGAAATGTCTGAGGACTAATTCGCAAAAATCACAAAATTAAACTATAACTATTGAACGTTCGAAATCTGCAAATTAAAACCATTGATTTCGTGTTTAATTTCAAACATTTTGATTAAATTCCCTTTATAATTTTGTGCGACAGGAATCAATTCGCAAAACCCCCAACTTAATTTTGCAAAATAGCTCAGAGGACTAGGGAATTTTTAACTGGTTTGCCTTTGGGGTTCGTCCGCCATTAACGACCCTTCAGAACTTAATTTCAGTAAGTTTCAATTGATTAAAAGTTGATTGAATTGTTCCCAGCTCTCGATTGTCCATTTCGAGCAGTGTGGAGGAATCAAATTTTAGAAGAAACTTACAAAATTGTTGGTAAACTTTGATCTTTGTTTTTGGGTTTATGGTGGAAGAACGGGTTAAAAGAAGAACTCAAGTGGGGTTCGGATCAGGCCAGCTAATGGGCTAGGCTGAAAGTTTTGGGCTAAGTCTTGACTAGGCCGTTAACATGGGCAGGATTTAGTTGGGTTGTTTTTTTTATGTAGGCTGGGCCATGGCTACATTGGGTTAGGCCAAAAAATGAATTCTGGGTTTTGGGTTCCCAGTATGGGCAAGATCCAGATCTAGGATTTGGATCCAACACAACAGAAAAAAAAAAAAAAAGAAGAAAAATAGCAAAAAAATGAGAATGACTGGTTCAAGGGTTTTTACACTGGTTCACGACCGGTTCAAGGTATGGTTAGAAAGATAATAAAATAAACTATTTGGTTCATGGTTAGTTCAATGATAAACTGGTCAGTTTAGTGAGAAAATTAAAGAATTAGTTTTTGGGTGGCCAGTTCAACACAGTGAGAGCCGGTTCAGTGTGTTTTCTAACCGGTTCACTGTGAGGTCAGTCTAGTACTTTAATGGTTGGTTTAAAAGATAATTAGACCGATTTATGGTTTTATGAGCTCGGTTCAAGACTTTGATACTTAGGATGTGAATTATTGATTAGTTCAAGACTTTAAAATTCTCGATATGGGTTTCGAACACAAGAACCTAAGTGTATATTCAAGTTTGGATGAAAATTGAATTTTAAATTAAAGATGATATATATTATATCTTAAAGTTAAGGTTCTGTGTGTTTCTAGATTGATTGTTCATTTCTTATGGAGCTATATTGCTAAAGCTCAGGTTTCGTGACTCCGGTTTTTATGAGTAGTAATACATATTTATATGATTTGTTGTTTTCATATCTGCTAAATGTTAAGTTTTATATGAACTATTTTATAAATTCAGATATTTTGAAATTGAAATCTATGCTTTAAAAGTGTACAAGGGACGTATATATATTTTCTGATTTGTTTGAAAATTTCTTGAACTATTAATTTTGATTGTGGATCTATTTGAAACATTGAAAACCTATGAACTATTTTTGTTAAATTTTGAAAAATGGTTTTAAGATTGTAGCCCAAGCTAGCAGGAGTGGTGCTAGACTTCCACGTGGAGTTGAGGTGGTAAGGCCTATTTCTTGTTTACAGGGGTTCCGTAAAGATGGTGGTAAGCAGGGATAGTGATAAGTGGGGATGGTGGTAAGTAGGGACGGTGGTTGTATCCCACCTGGCGAGACTTGCCTGTAATTCTTGCCTGTGATTCCCGTCTACAGGACCCTAGCATGTTTCCTATTCTGTTATATGTGAATCTAACATAATAAGCTTATTATATGTGTAACGACAAACTATGAGATTGCTGTTCTATTTTCTGTTCAGTTCTGTTATATGAGTAATGACAAACCCTGTGATTGCCATCCTATTTTCTATTTCAAACGTCATAAGTTGTGTAAGTTAAAAGATTATGGTTTATGATAAAAGCATCTAATACATGTCCCTTGTCATGTAAATATGTGTAACTATTCATTAGGTCGTTAAACTCACCCCTTAATTTTTCCAAACTCAGGTTCTATGCTTCTGGCTGATCTTGTTGCATGAAAAGAGTTGTCAATCCTGATTCTGTGGTTCCAGTGGATTTGGTTTCTGAGTGTAGTAGTCAGATATTGTTTTTCTTGTTGTGTTAATTTGTTTTAGTTAGCACAAACATAATTTGAATTTAAGGATTTTCATATGTTAATGATTGTATTAGATTTTTGGAAGTTTGTATCAGACTTTAGAAATGTATTAAGTTTACTTTCACTTTGTTATGTTGTAGTTCTGAGTGTTTGAGGCTTGCAGGGTTGAGCTTATCTTAACCCTAGCGCCAGTCACAAATCCAACTTTCCGAGTCCTGACAAAGTTGGTATCAGAGCCAGGTTATCTGTGAACCTAGGAGAAATATAGTGTATGTGAGAAAATGAAAAGATCAATAGCGAAAGGGGAAAGGATTTGGCCAACCTCCTTGGTAAACCGCTTAAGGGTTCAGAAGAAATGAATCTTTTGCATGGAAGGAGAAATAGTGACTGAATAATTTGGAAGAGATCTAGAGATATGTGTTAGTTAGATAAACTTGAACTTTGAGAATTTTAAAGATTCAAAAGTTATTTTGGAAGCTTGAGTTAATTTGAAATTGCTTATACAGACTGTTCGAGGTAAACTTGGGATGACGTGAATTGTGGTTTCATTAAAACTAAGAGAGACTTAGTGGTTTGAGATTTATTTTGAGGACCCTTAGAGTAATTATAAATTTTATCAATGGATTGTTCAAGGCAAAAATTAAAGATTGGGAGTTTCAAAGACAAAATTGGTTGGTAGTCTAACCGTTTAGCTAAAAGATTAAAGAGTTGATAGTGTTACTGATCCAGTGTAAATAGATGATTCCTGAAAAAAAAGTACAATGTTAAGAGATTAAATGAGAATCTATAGTTTGGAAATAATTGTACTCACTTTATGAATGATTAACAATTGATGTGAGGTTTGATGAATTGGGAAGTGCAAGGTTTAAATTTGATCAAGACTTTGAAAAATCAATGTGAGCTGTAAGATAAAGACTTTAGGTAATGAGCCGAACAATGAATAAATAACAAAGAGGAAGAGACCTAAGTAGAGATATGATCACAATTGGGTTAATTGAGGCAGGTGTATTATTTGACCCTAGATCGACTCACTCTTATGTGTAGATTATTGTATTAAGAGTGATCGACTTACTTGTATATCTTTATATCGTGATGTGTGATTTGATGAGGAGACATTTTATGACCACCCTTATAAGGGAGCCTATCTAGATTAAATATGAAAATAAGTTCTGCTGGATTAAAGTAATGATAAAAATACACAATTGTTTGGTATGTCTGGTTATTATGCACTTTAATGTAATCTTGGTTATGGATTTTGTTAATAACTGGAGTACTCACTCCTCACTGATTGATTTTACTAGGCTAGTGGTTGGATGGCACTTTCTGAGGTATGATACAAAAGATGTTGTAAATCTCTGAT